GAGATAAGCAATTAGCCAACTTGATTTTTTAAAAAGAAAAGAGAAAATCAAATTAGTAGTATCAAAAATGAAAAAGGAGAAATTACAACCATTAAAGAATAAAGAAACTTGTTTATAAACCATTTAGCCTAACAATATGTCAGTAAAACTGACAAATAAATAGATGTATATTAATGAAAATATAGAATACCCAACTGTAGCAGAATAAGAAAGGCATAATTTAAATCACCCAAGCCTAGAAAAATAATTTGAACAAGCCCAAATATGAATTTCCAAAGAAAACTGTCCAGGACCAAACATTCAATGAAAAGTAAGTTTCAAGAGTACATAAACTGTTTGCTAAAACAGGAAAAAAAAAAGGAATCTTACCAAATTCCTTCTACAATACAAATACAGTCCTGACAACTAATCCAGGGGGAATTAAAACAGAGAAATAAAACTATAAACTAAAATCCTGATTGACTATTGATGCAGAGAAGAATCAAGATGGTATAATAGCAGGAAGAACTGTAGTCTAGCTCATCCACCAAACCTCTTGCACAAAGACCTAGAAAACACACCAGACTGAATCCTGATCAGGAAATCCAGGCAAAAAAATTCAGTGAGTCGTTTTTCCAGCATAGGTTGGCATATAGAGCCAGAGATTTCTGGGGCCACTGAGGATGATGTCTTGCCAGGTGTTTACCTCACAGAGTATTCCAGTGCCCAGGGACCAGAAGAGGACCAACCTGTTAATCATAGCATGAAGCACTAGAGCAGGATCATCATGTCCAAAGTCAAGAAGTAGGGTACAAGAATGAAACTGCAGATCACACATGATTTAACAGTTATCACCATAACGGAGTGGAAAGCTTTGAACATAACATTCCAGAAGGCAAAGAATATAGGCTTATAACCAAGAATAACTTAACCAACAAAATAGAGCATAACATGGACCTCTAAGGAAATGAAGGACTTCTAATCATTCCTGATGAAAAGACCAGAGCTGCTTAGAAACTTTGAAATGTAAAGATAGGAGTAAAGAGAAACAAACAAATGTAAACATGAATAAATAATCCTAAGGAACTAAACAGGGTTCAATTGTTTAGATTTTTATATGGAGAGTTATGAAGGCAGGACATACCTTCATAATTCTATTATTATCAGGGGCAATAGAGTCTAATTACATAGGTCTGGGAATTATTCCATTGTTACGTTTTGATGATCTTATAAGAAGAATGCAAAATGAAAGGAAGAGAAATGAACTGGGATTGGGGAAAGGAAGAGGAAGAATGAGAAAAATTATCTCACATAAAGAGGATATAGAAGTAGAAGTTGATACCACAAGGAGCAGGATGTGGAGGTAGCAGGCAATACTTGAATCTCACTGTCCCCTGAATTTGTTAAAGGAAAAAAGAATACACATTCATACACAGTCGGATGCAGAAATACATTTCAACCAACAGGGAAACAGGAGGGAAAGGGGTTAAGAAAAATGGGAGGAAGAAGAGGGAAGACAGATAAAAGGAGTCAAAAACAAAATAGACTTTTAAAGAAATGGCAGAAACAGAGAAGGAAAAGCATAAGAGAACAAAATGTAGGGAAATACATATTTAAAAATTATAACTGTGAATGAAATGAACTTGCCCATAAAATAGAAGAGAATAGCAGAATTTATAAGAAACCAGAATCCAACCACACATTATTTACACGAAATATACTTGCAACTAAAAGATACATACAGAGTTAAAATAAGGGGCTGGAGCAAAATCTATTATGCTTCAATTAAAATAAAAACAGCAGGGATAGTAACCATAATCTCAGGCAAAGAAACAGTAAAAATAGATCTAATTAAAAGAGATAAAGATAACTACATTTTTCTGAAAGGTACCATAGATAATGATTAGTATCAATACTAAGCATACATGTACCAGATGGATTTACAAGTTAATTGTACTAAACTTTTAAAGAATAATAAATTCAAATACTATAAAATGGTCCTACTAAATCCCTTCTATGACACAAAAACCTAAGAGTCAAGACAGAGAAAGAAAATTAATACCCTTAATAAATATTTCCTTAATATAAAGTAGTATCAATCTAAAACTGAGAGCCAAAATTGATGTACAGTGATGATAAGCTAGAGGCCTTTACAGTAAAATCAAGAATAAAGCAAAGTTGGCCATTATCACCATTACTATTCAATATAGTACTAGAAATGCTACTTATAAGATCAAGAAATTGAAGAACTAAGCACAGGCTAGGAGGAAACAAAATTATTACATTTTGTAGAAGATAAAATGATTTACTTTTAGAATTCTAAAGTGTCAACTCAAAAAGCTAACTGAAATAAGTAACAGCTCCAGCAATGTTTCATAAAACAAACCTGCATAAATTATCAGAATTTATGTATATTACCAACAAAACCCAACAGGAAGAAAGAGAGAAATTCCATTTAAAACTGAATAAAATACTTGGTAAACACATGTATAGGAACTTCATGAATACAACTACAAAATACTCTTTAAACAAATACAGATCTACCATTGGAGAAGTACCAATTACAAATGGGTAGGCCAACCCAGAATAATAAAAATGACAGTACTACCTAACTAAATTAACTTATTCTATGTCATATCAGTCAAACTACCAAAGGTTTCCTTTGCAGAGCTAGTAAAATAATCAAATTCATCTGGAAGAATATCAAGAATCTCAAGGGAATGAGTAAATAAAAGAGGGAGGGAAGGAGGCCAAGTAATAATAGATCTCAAGTGATATTACAAAGCTATAATCAAAATAATTTGGTACTGACTAAGAAATAGAGAGGTGGAACAGATTAGGTACAAAAGATGCAGAAGCAAATGATAACATTATCTAATGATAATGATAACAGTGTCTAATGATTCAAAGATCTCAATTAATGTGTTAAAAAAATCAGTATTCAATAAAAACTACTGGAAAAATTGGAAAGCAATCTGGTAGAAATTAGGTATAGATCTATACCTCCCACTATATGCTAAGATAATATCCAAATGGATATATGACTTAAATATAAAGGGTAACATTATAAATAAATTAGAGCATGGAAGAAATTACCTGCCTGATTGATGAACAGGGAGAGAGTTCATGACCAAACAAGGGAGCAAGAGGGACAAAGAAAGTAAAATAGGCAATTTTTATAAATTTTCTGCACAAGAAAAGCAAAGCAAAGCAGCTAAAGTTAGAAAAGAAGTAGGTAAACAGGGAGAAGAGGTGGAATCTCTGTAGCCATTATCTCTGATAATTATCTCATTTCTTAGGTATGTATCTATATCTATTTATCTAGAACTAAGTCAAATTTATAAGAATAAGAGCCATTCATCAACTGATAAATGATCAAAGGATATGAAGTTTTCTAAGGAAGAATTCCAAAGTATCAATAGCCATGATAAAAAAAATGCCCTAAATACTAATTAGAGAAATGCAAATTAAACCAATTCTAAAGTTCTACCTCACACCCATCAGATTTGCAAAGTTGACAGAAAAGGAAAATGACAAATGCTGGAAGGGTTCCAGGAAAACAACCACTATTTGGAGGCACTGTGAACAGTTCCAGTTATTCTAGAAAGCAATTTGAACTTAAGTCCAAAAAGGTATTAAACTGGGTATATCCTTTGACCTAGAAATATCACTATTATACCAGGTCTATATCCCGAAAAGGTCAAAGAAAAAGCAAAAGGACCTAAACGTACACAAATATTTATAGTAGCTCTTTTGTGGTGGCAAAGAACTGGAAATTGAGAGGGTGAATTCATTAATTGTTGAATAGCTGAACAAATCATAGTATATAAACATGAAGGAATATTATTGCACTGTAAGAAATAAAGAGAATGATTTCAGAGAAACCCAGGAAGACTTGTGTGAATTGACGATGAATTTAGTGAGCAAAAGCAGAAGAAAATTTTATATAATAACAACAGTATTATAAAGATAAAGAGCTCTGAAAGACTTAGGAACTCTGATCAATGACCAATCACTAGTCTAGAGAACTTATGACAAAACATGCTATCTTCTTATGGATAGGTGATGGAGTGCAGATTGAGACTTTTTTTTAATATGGCCAATGTGGGAATTTATTTTGCTAAACTACACATATCTGTTAACAGGAGTTTTATTTTTCTTGCTTTCTCAGTTAGGGAGAAGGGAGGAAAAGAAAGCAGACTTTCACTGACTGAAAAAAAAATTAACAAAAAAGAAAAAAATAAAAAGTTACCTACTCTCACTGCCTCTACTCTTACAGTCAATCCTCAACACTTTACCATCTAGGTTACTTTATCACTTAACTAAAACTTCTCTCTCCAAAATTACTAGCAATCTCTTAATTGCCAAATTATGATCTTCTCTCATTCCTCCTCCATCTTGATCTATCTGCTGCATTTCTCCTTGAGAAATCCATCTATATTCAGTGCTTCCACTTTTTATTTCACTTGATTCTAAACCCTCCACCACCTAGCTTTCTACCTTATAATTCAACTAAAACTGCTCTCTTCAAAGTCACCAATAATATTTTGATTGCCAAATTTAATGTTCATTTCTTAATCCTTTTTCTTTTTGACTTCTCTGCAACCTTTGACACTGTTGATAACCTCCTCCTGGATATTGCTTTCTTTTGGCTGTTCTTCCATCTGTCTGATCTCAATAATGACCAATATGCAATCAATAACAAAGTAATATCCTGATACAACTTTGGAGGGACAAAAAGAGATCATTCCAAACTGAAAAGAAAAGAAGCATACTCAAGAATTAGGTTAAAAAACATCAGAGTAGGACATGGAAAAGTAAGTCAGTAGACTCAAGGACTCCTTGTTACTTGCTATCATGTGTGCTTTATTATTATGACACTTTATATCAACTAACTAGTATTATTGAGAGTGTAGGGCAATAACCTAAGCCCTCTACTAAGTATTGTTTCTTGAGTTACTAGCATTCCACAGCAACTCAATCTACCAAAAAGTGTGAAATTTAAACACAAATGAGATTACCTTCAACTGCTTTTCTTTTTCTTGAACAATGACCCGGATGATCATGAGTACATTTAAAGAGTAAATCAGTAGAATTATTAGGGGCAACACTTGGCCCAGGAACTCAAGGAAGTTGTCGGAAACAAAATGTGGGAATGGAAACCTCTTTACGTTGACAGCGACATGATCAATGAGCCAGTTATCTTTCCCATGATATTGAATGATAGCTTTGTCTAAAGCATGTTGAATGGCTAGGAACCCTTCAGAAACGTATCCTGAATGAGAAAGCAAAGGACACTACATATAGATTGAAAAATATCTCACAGGGAAAGAAAGTAAATGTCAATTTTGTTTGAGTAGGACAATGCTTTTCATCTAGAAAAATGTTGTTTCAATAGACACATATCTATAGTGCTTCTTCTGGCACTCAATGCACACTTGTGAACTAACTGTACTTACCTTATTTCTGTGCGTTTTCTACCGCCTTCCAAATTGATATATTATATGTCAATTGATAGGCTAGACACATTTTATCAACTAAACAGAAAGAAGGTTCATTTAAATAGTGAGCTATAAACAACTTTAAAAGATTCTAACTTTTGGTAAATTAGGAATAGGATCTTGAATCTCTGTTTAGGTAAATTACCTATATCTTGACTATATATACTAGAATGTGATTTATAAAACTGGTTATCCATCAACTTAAGCTATAATAGAGGCTTTTAAAAGACTTAACTTTAAGGGGCAGCTAGGTGGCACAGAACATAAAGTACCGGCCCTGAAGTCAGGAGGACCAGAGTTTCAAATCCAGCCTCAGAACAAATGCTTGACACTTACTAGCTGTGTGACCCTGAGCAAGTCACTTAACCCCAATTGCCTTAAAAAAAAAAACCAACAACACTTGACTTAAAAGACTTGCAAACCTCCAAATAAGAAAAAGTATACATTTTTCTTATGATAACATACCTCAACTGAACCTATAGAAAGAAAAGAACTGTCTCTGGAAATCATGTTACAGTTTTTGTAAATTTAAAAAACAAAATTACTATTGGGTGGTTTACTTTTTTGTTTAGACAGAGAACAAAGAGGATTTTAAAGTATTTTGTATGATATTCTTATCTATTCCTGAAATAATCAGTTCAAAGAAATATAAACAAGCAAATAAAACTCACAAAACTCTTCTATGTTCAGAAAAAAGAAGTATGCTAGCTTTTCTTAACTTGACTATAACAATCCTGCTTAGGCCTTTCTCATGTCAGTTTATTCTCACATGGCCTAGAAAAAGCCAGTATTTATTTCATAGAATTTTATAGCTAGAGGAGATCTTAAATAATGTATAATAAAAACTCCACATTCTATAAATAAGGAAATTGAGTCACAGAGAAGTAAAGGGACTTTCCTAGGTTATAGTTAGTGAGTAGTAGAGCTGAGATTATATCTACATGTTTTATATATAGGTCAGTATTTTTTCTACTACTTCTACTACTTTTACTACTACTATTTCTCATAAATGTCAAAGTTCCTCTAAGTCAGACTTACTAAATATCATGGTAATCTGACTTTGCTAAATTACTCAGAAACACAATGTCTCCAATTCATCTTCTTTGCTTCTTCTTCTTCTTTTCCTTCTTTTTTTTTTTTTTTGGATTCTCTGGAAAGAAAACCCTCCTCTTCTGAAAGAATGAGTTTGTTTTCTTCAAACAGTCCCTCCATCTATGTTTTTTTTTCTCGCTCAATTCTCTTATTCTGATTTGTCTTTAATTGTGATATTACATGCTATTTCTAAATAATCTCACCTCACAAGTTAATTCAATATGATTTTTCATAGGAGCCAGACTCTTTTCCAACTATAACTATCAAATTACAGATAGTTCAAACATTTAACAAACACAAAAATAATCTAAACATGAACAAAATTCTTCATAGATAAAAAATAAATACACAATATCGATTATTAAAAGTAATCCTTTGAGTTACAAATAAAACAAATGTGCTTAAAATCATTCTCACCGGGACTTCCCCCATCACTGTAAAGATGATTCCGAGGTCCTGGTAATGGGAAAAGTGGAAAAAGATAGGCTGTGTGCCAGCCTTCTGGCTCCTTTGGCATTAAGAAAAGCTTCCCTATTGGCTCGGTGTTTCTTGGAGAGAAACTGAAGCGCAGGTGGTATCTAACCTACAAGAAATAATTAGAAAACAGGTTCAATGAGATATAGAAATTAAAGAAAGACTTAAACCAAAGAACGATTGTAACTACTTAAGAAGTTCCATATAGTGTCAAAGTGAGTGACTACATAGGGGAGGTAAAGACAGTAACCCTGATATGGCAGCTAGGTAATACAATGGATAGAACTCTAAGGTTGGAGTCAGGAAAACCCGAGCTCAAATCATGCCTCAAACACTTAGCTTTGTAACCCTGGGCAAGTTACTTAACCTCTCTAGGTTATCTATAAAATGAGGGAGTTGAACTCAATGGCCTTTAATATCCCTTCCATTCTAAATCTTTAACTATATGGCAGAAGTAGAACCATCTCTCAACCCAAATTCATCTAAATTTCTAATTCAATTAAAAAAACAATAAGTGCCTATTCTAAAAGACACTGTGTTAGGTACTGGGAACAAAGAAAAAAATGATAAGAATCTTTAAAGAGCTTTCATTGTACTGGGGAATGCAAGTACGGTTTATAGTATATATAATAGCAGACCAAATAAATATAAGGCAATTGGAGGGGAGGTGGTGATAGCTTAGGGCATGAGGAAAGGCTCTCAGGTAGGAGGTATCACTTGAAAAACTGAGCTATGAAGGAAACTAGGGATTCTTTTTATTTTTATATTGATTTTTTAAACTTGAGATTCTAAGAAGCAGAAATGCATAGGGAAAGCTTATGCAAAGGCATCATGAAAGGGAATGAAATGTCACCTATAAGGAAGAATGAGAGAGAGAAAGAGAGACAGAGAAAGAGGGAGACAGAGACAGAGACAGAGTCAGAGTCATACAGGAAAGGTGACAACTGGGAAATATTGCGGAGAAAACTAGGGATTTTTTTTGAGATATGCAAGATAAGCAAGGAGCACATGAAGTGTACCACAAGTACAAAGGTACACAAGCAATAAACAGAATGCCAGACAGGTATAGCTGCCAGGCCAGTTTGACTTGGAGTATATGAAAGGAAGTAATATAAAATAATAGAAGAAGTAAGTGAGACCCAGATTGTGACTGGTTTCAGTATTTCATTGAGGCAGCCAAAGTCCTGTAAATGTGAGGGACTTGTAGTTTGGAGCAGTTGCTCTAGTGGGGAATGAGAAGAGTATTAAAGCTGTTGAAAAGTAATGATACGGAGAAGATTCTAGGAAGATGGAGAAATAGGTCAGAACATTCCAAGCTCTGCAAATTTCCCCTACAAACAACACAAAAATAACACCTCAGGGCAAATGTAGAGTGGTAAAAATAAACAAGAGTTGGGGCAGAACAGTGGGCCTCCTGGGATAACCCAGAAAAGGTTTGTTCCCTGTGAAGTATAAATACCTCTAGGCTAGTTCCATTAAAACAACAAGCTGGGTGAGCCCTTGGGCTAGCTGGGTTGGGAGGAAGCCTTGGCTCCAGCAACAGTAATTTTTACCTCCCAGACAGTGTGGGGAGTCTCCTGTCTAAGTGGGGGAAGACTGAGGAAAGCTCTGCTGATAAGGGATACTAGGCCCAGCTGTGTCACCAAGATGTGGCCCTAGACGAGAAGGAACCAATACATGTTTGATGAGTGCAGAAGCAATGGGGCAGGACGCTGCTGACTGTGGGTACTTACAGGGGGCTGGAGTTCCTCATTTTAGTTCCAGGCCAAAGGGGAGAACCGAAGGAGGATCTGAGGCTAGAGACACCATCCCCCATACCCCAGGACTAGAGGTGATTATAATAATAGGCTTCTACAAATAAAAAAAAAAATGAGCAGGCTAAGGAGAAAGAACCCAATTACAGAAATACAGGAATAGAGAAGACCTATCTTCAGAAGAGGATAATGAAGCAGAAAAAAAAAAAAAAAGCCTTTCCTACCCTAAGGTATAATGTCAAATAGTCACTTCCCCCACCTCAAGACTTTAAAAATCAAATGACTTCTCAATGGCGGGGGGGGGGAGGAGAGGAAGAAAGAGAATTTGGAACTCAAAGTTTTAAAAACAAATGTTTAAATTGTTTTGACATGTAACTGGCATAAAATAAAATACTAAATAAAAAAATGAGAGAGATTGAGGAAAAATTTTTAAATAAAGAACAATCCAAGAAAAACAAGAAGATTATGAAAAGAAAGTCAACCAACTGGAAAAGGAGATCCAGAATCTTAAGGAAGAAAATGATTCCTTGAAAATTAGAATTGGGCAAGGTGAAGCCAGTGAAATTATGAGAGACCAAAAAATAACAAAACAAAATATAAAGAATAAAAAATGGAAGAGAAAGTGAAATATCTCATAAGAAAAACAATTGATCTGGAGAGCAGATCAAGAAGAGAAAATATAAGAATAAATAGACTACCTGAAAACTATGATCCAAAAAAGAATCTGATACAATAATACAAGAAATAATTAAAGAAAATTGTCCTAAAGTGTTACAACAAGAGGGGAAAATAGAAATAGAAAAAATCCACTGAAGAGATCCCATGAGGAAAACTCACAAGGATATCATAGCTGAATTCCAAAACCCCCAACTCAAGGAGAAAAATATTGTGAGAAATAAGAAAAAAACAATCCAAATATGGCAGAGCCACAATTAGAATCACACAAGACCTAGCAGCAGCTAAAAGACTGCAGATCTTGGAATACTACATATTGAAGAGCAAAATAAGTGGGGTTGTGGCTGAAAATATCACACCCAGCAAAGTTAACATAATCCTGAATGAAAAAAAAAATGGACATTCAACAAATTGCCAGACCTTTAGGATTTTATTGCAAAAACACAATAGAACACAACAGAAAATTTGACAGACAAGATTCAAGAGAAATATAAGGTAAACATCAAAGACTCAAGGGACTCAATAAGGGCAGAATGTTTACTTTTTATGAGGAAATGTAAACCATATGTGTAAGATTGTAATTAATAATTGGGTAGTTCAAAAGAAAGATTGGAGTAGAGCTGAGTATGATGTGATTCTAAAAGGTAATACTGTCTAGGAAAAGGTAAAAAGACTAATTATCTCATACAAATGAGGTGTGAGAGGAAGAATTGACACTGAGGAATTAAACAGGGGAGAGGGCTGGTAGTTCTGAAATCCTACTCTCATTGGGAATGGGTTAAAAAAGGAACCAATACATATATATCTAGAAGGGTATAAAAGTCTTCTAAATTCAGAAAGAAATAAAAGGCTAAGGGAATAGGGAAGGGGTAAAAGGTAAGGGAAGGAAAGAGGGTGAGGGAATAGGATAAAGGGAGGTATAGAAGGGTGTTTAGATTAATGGGAATGGGATAAAGAGGGAATAAAATATATATTTGGAAGGCTATGTCTTCTAAATTCAGATAGGAACAAGAGGGTAAGGAGAAAGGTGGGAAGAGGATAAGGGAGGGATTTTGGGGGGTAGGTTAAGTAATAGGAGGGCAAGGTAGAAATAAAGTAAAGGAATCAGGAGAGATAGGAAATAAGATATATACACAAACACAACATAAAGACCAGGAGTGGAATCTATTAGGAAAAAAAAGTAAGGGTAGTAATAATGATTTCAGACAAAGTTAAAGCTAAAATAGATTTAATCAAAAGAGAAAAATAGGGAAACTACACTATATGTCAGTCATATTAATCAATATTCTTTTAGACTATTTAAAGTAACTAGATAACATAAGGTTGGAATATTGCTGTAGTATAGTAAATGATGAGTTGGTAGACTCAGAAAAATATGGAAAGACTTGGACTTATGAAGGAAGATGTTATCCACTCTCAGAGAAACAGAGGATAAACACATATAGCACAGTCCTACATAGATGCATATGAATATATATGTCTATACATCAATATGATTATAGATATCTAAGTACATGTATGTATATAAATGTATGTAGGTGTACATATATGTGTGTGTATATATGTATATGTATAAATGCATACATATACATCCATACACATACATATGTGTGTATATATCTATATATCTCTATATCTGGATATAAAGGAAGAGGAAGAGGAAAGGGGGAAAAACGAACAAAGTAAAAAGTGCACAGCACAGAACAAAAGAAAACTTACAAGGACGCAAAAAAAAAGATGGATAGCTCTGAACGCAATGCATAGTATTTATTATATAGGCTTTCTTGAAATGGAAATTTATTGCTGTATATTTTGATATATTACTGTATGTTTATGTTCTTCTATGCACATGGCAATGCTTTTTTTCTTTCTTATTTTGTGTTTATGTTTCTTTTCTTGTTGTGTATTTAAGTTTAAATAAATTAATAAAAAAACTAAGAGGGGAAAAAAAAAAGTAATGATAGTCTAGCTGAGGTCATGTGCCGTAAATTTCTGAGTGTGTGAAATTAGTCATCGGTTGGGAGCTCTCTCATTTCCCATTCTCTCTCTCTCTCTCTCTTTTTGCCATTTCCCATTCTCAACAGACTATGATCTCCCTGGACAGAAGGGACTGTTTCCTTTTTATCTTTTTTTATCTTTTTATCCCATCACCTGACATAGTATCTGGCACATAAAAAGTTAATAAATTGCTGATGGATTCTCCACATCTCAAAGCTTCTATGTCTTTGTCCTTTTTACCTTTTGCTTCAGTCTTGCTAACTTAAACTTAAATCTATACTGTCTTGTGTCATTAGATAATAATGGGGATAGTAAGATTAAAAAGGTAAGCAAGACATCAGATCAAAAGAAATGAGGCTTACGTCATAGAAGAGCAAGGAGGTAAAGGTGAGAAGTCTAGGTGATTAGGAATTAGTAATTCAGGTTTATAGAGGAAGGAAAAAAAAGGGCCAAGAACTTATGCAAATAGTTTGGGAAACAACGAGATAAAAATGTAGGCTAGAGGCTGGCCAATAAGGGAGGCTTAAAATATAGATTTTAAACCTCTCAACAATCCTACCCCTCATCTAACAGTAAAATGAATGATCATGTAACAAATATGGTGATAAATCAACTATCCAATTCTCATTGCAAGCCAAGAAATGATGACTAGTTGAAGGCCTTTCATCCTTCAGCAAGTCAACTCCATTAAATTCCTGGTATCAAGTTAACAAGGACTGGTACATTTTAGTCAAGATTTCCTTACCTTAAGTGGCAGGGGTTCCCATTTGTGGCTAAAGGTATGTTCAAAAACAATGGCAGCCAACACATTGGAAGACTCATTGTGATATCTAATGTAATCATCAAAAGCCTGCTCTGAAGAAAAGCCTCGAGCTGTGGAGGAAAAAAAAAATTACACAGTGAGTTGTCCAGATAAAGGTAATAATGTCTGATTATACTGTCTATTTGAGGAGATGTGGGAGTTTCATATTACTTAACAAGGATGAGTTTATCAAAATTTCCAAGGAATGGTAAACTTCCAAAACTAAGACCCTGTAAAACTTTTTCCTTCCAAGTCAACTTTCCTTTGGAAGGAGTTTCTATTCTAACCATAGTTGACTCTCTTCTCCTGATGACTTCATTTTCACAGACACAGAACCACAGAGCTGAGAGTTACCTTGGAAATCATTTAGTCCAACCTATTCATTTTACAGGTTACATTTTTGTTGGCTATACTGGGAAATAACTCAGTTCTAATTTTATCCTCAAGCTTTATCTAGTTTATAATTTTATATTTATGAGATAACTGGAGATTTCTTTCCTAGAGTACCCATAGTTATGGGACTTATCATAAGTCACAACACATATGAATGTGATCTACAAATTAATTTAGTAATATATTTTGTAGAAACTCTTCTCTTCATATTTCCTAACCTTTCATATTGCTGCCTAAAACCTTTTGCGTTGTTTTAATGATATTCTTCACCACATCACTATTGGATGGCACATAAACCAGTTCCCATGGGCTGTGCTGGTTTGCAGGAGTTTGGAAAAATGAGGGTAGGTTTGCAATTTGTTGAACATTGTAACTGACAGAAGCCACTTGCTCTGTGGGAATATACTTGCGAAACATCAAAAGCATAATAGCAAACAGCAATTCCAGGATGATTTCTAGGAATGTAATTATCCACAGCCGCCTCTGGTAGAGAAATTGAAAACATACATAGAGGGAACATAGTCAATTCTCTTACATTTAGAATTCTTTACTTTCTTCTAGCCTCAAACCATTACATCAAATGCTTTGTGGTCTGAAAAGTATAAAAATCTGCCATTCAAGAACACTCTCCCTCTCTAGTTACACATTCTTCCGTCACCCATTTCCACCTGAAGGCATTACATGAGTAGGAACTGACTTCTTCTCTAACAGGAAACACATCAATACTCCCTGGTCTCAGAAATCAAGGTCTTTCTTACATTTGTTCTCCTGCCTATTTTGCCTAGACATTTGGATTTCTGTGGCTCTGCAGAGCTGTGTGCCAGACCTTTGATCATCTAGCAGCTAGATCTAGCTCATCTTATTCTTTTTGGTATACGTATCCTACTGATTTTTGCCTACCTATACATATACATATACATGTATTATATGTACTGGTTGATTCTGTGTTTGCTCTAACAACCATTATATGTGATTGACTACAAATACTGGTTTAACTTCCTGGTATCTGACCTATTTCTTCCCTAGACCTTTTGATATTTCCCATTCTTCTGATTTACTCTATCCAGACCTTAACTCACATTTCTGGACTCCTGGCCACTAATGTGATTACTGACCAGATCTGATTTAAACCTACTGTCTAAGTATACTCCTGGTTCTACTGGTTCTGTCTCTTTTTATACACATAACACATAGGCACCCAAAGTTCTAGCATTGATAAAAAGAAATAATAGGAACTAGAAATGAGAGTATCAGACTTTCTTTTCCCTTGGGCAATTAGTCCCTCAGATTTTCTCAAGGTTGTCTATACTTACCTTTATAATGTAATTCTTCCAGAGAAGCAGCGAAAACTGCCGGGACAATAAACTGCATCTCCCCATGGTGAATAGTTCATCACTAAGCCAGATATAAGAGGAGAAATTTAGAATATCTAACCAAAGTTAACAAATCCCCCCTCCTACTCTTCCACTCACTCTCTTATTTTCTGTTTCTCTTTTCCACCCTCAAAGTTAATAGAAAGAATACTACTACGTTTATAAGAAAAAGTCCTTATTTTGTATACATCCTAGGTTTTTTTCTTTATTGAGTTAAACTTGTTTTTTCTCATGGAAGCTCCATCATAAGTATCATGTCTCCATATGAGCCAGGGAATGAATTTGTAATTTCTGAAAACTTGGATTCAGGGAATTTTCTAGTAGCTCCACACCATAATCCATCCTTGACCAAGCAGGTGCCAAGCTAAAACTAACTGCTGAAGTGGTAGTCAGAATACAGTATTTCCCAGAATCTTAGCTGTCGTTTCTATAAATAGGGGCATGGGGAACTATGTGTGATCAGCAGAGTTCACCGCAATGGAGAGTACTTTCACCATTTCTTCTTTGAAACACTTTAACAACAACCTAGGAAGACATGACTCCCACCTATGCTTACCCCACAAAAACTACAACTACTAACATACGTGTGTGTGTGTGTGTGTGTGTGTGTGTGTGTGTGTGTGTGTGTGTCTCCTTAGGTTATAGGCCAGTTAATGAAAAATCAAAAGATTTAAAAGGGGTCACTGGACTAACAATTATCTCTGTTGAGTCTAGAATGTATTAAGATATATAAATCAACTTTTTATAGTTAACTTTTTTCCTCAAAAAAGAGGCAGCATGACATAGTCGATAGATTACTAAGCCTTGGAGTCAGAAAGATCTGGAGTCAAGTCCTGACTCTGACACATACTAACTGTGTAACTATGGGTACATTATTTTACCTCTCCGAGTTAGAGGTAACTCTCTACAATTGTAAGTTACATAAGAGTTGCTAATCTGTATTGATAGGAGTTGTTTCCACAATAGAAGTCCCCTGAAATAACAGAGCCAAATTTAACAAAAAGAATCCTCAGAACACCAGATATATACTAGTAGTCAAATTCACTTCACATATAGCAGCTACTTAAAGCAACAGTAAAAAAGAATATTGATTTCACAATTTCTAATTCTGCTGGCCAGAGGCAAGTGCCATTGCAGTGACCTAAATAATGCATGTTTTCTAAGACTCAATCTCTCAATCTCTACTTAATCCAATAACCCCTTGGGAACACACTGAGAACAGAACCAAAAATTAACATAAAATTCCAAATCAAGAAATATGGCAGAAAAATAAGCAAACAACAAAAAAATAAGCTGATCATAAAAAGTTACTATGGTGATAGGGAAGATCATGACAAAACTCAGAAGAAGACAGTGAAGTTAAAACAGCTACAAGCAAAGCCTTAAAGGAAAAAAAATGTGAATTGAGTATGTGTATGTATATGTATATATACACACACACACACACACACACACACACACACACACATATATATATATACACACACATACATACATATATACATACCCAATTGGTAACAGAAATCTATCTTACCCAGAAGGGAAACAGGAAGAGAAGGGGACAAGGAAAAAGGGGAAGAAATGATAAAAGGGAGGGCAGATAAAAAGGCGGCAATGGTCAGAAGCAAAACAGACTTTAGAGGAGGGGCAGAATAATGAGAGAAGGATAAACAGAACAAAATAGGACAGATGAAAACACACAGTTAGTAATCATAACTGTGAATGTAAATGGGATGCACTCATCTATAAAATGGAAGAAGGTAACAGAATGGATTAGAAACCAGAATCCAACAGTATGTTGTTGACAAGAAAGACACTTGAAATAGAAAGACACATACAGAATTAAAATAAGGAGCTGGAACAGGATCTATTATTCTTTAGCTAAAGTAAAAAAGGCAGAGGTGGCAATCATGATCTCCAACAAAGTAAAAGAAAAATAGACATAAGCAGGGAAATTACATCTTGCTAAAAGGAACCATACAAAATGATGTAATAGTAATACTAAACATATATGCACCAAATGGTATTACATACAAATTCATAAAGGAGAAGTTAAATGAATTAAAAGAGGAAATAGACAGTAAACCATACTACTGGGGGACTTCAACTTTACCTTCTCAGAGTTAGATAGATCTAATCATAAAATAAATGAGGAAGAAGTCAAAGAAATGAACAGAATCTTTGAAAAGTGAGATATGATAGACCTATGGAGAAAACTGAATGGGAACAGAAAGGACCTTTTATTCAGCTGTACATGGAACTTTCACAAAAACTGATCATGAATTAGGGCATAAAGACTTCATAAAAATGCAAAAATATTAATGCATCATTTTCAGATCATAATGCAATAAAATGCGAATTCTATCAAACATTTAAAGAACAACTAATTCCAATACTATATAAACTGTTTGGAAAAATAGGCGAAGAAGGAATCCTATCAAACTCTTTTTATGATATGGTGCTAATACCTAAATCGGGAAGAGCCAAAACAGAGAAAGAAAATTATAGACCAATTTCCCTAATGAATATAGATGCAAAAATTTCAAATAAAATATTAGCAAAGAGATTATAGCAATTTATCTCAAGGATAATACACTATGACCAGACAGAATTTATACCAGAAATGCAGGGCTGGTTCAATATCAGGAAAACTGTCAGCATAATTGACCATAGCAACAACAAAACTAACAGAAATCATATGATTATCTCAATAGATGCAGAAATAGCATTTGACAAAATACAACATCCATTCCTATTAAAAACACTAGAGAACATAGGAATAAATGGAGTCTTCCTTAAAATGACAGGTAGCATCTATCTAAAACTATCAGCAAGTATTATATGTAATGGGGATAAGCTACAAGCATTTCCAATAAAATTGGGGTGAAACAAGGATGTCCGCTATCACCACTCTTATTCAATATTGTACAGGAAATGTGCACGTTAGCAATAAGGAAATGTGCACGTTAGCAATAAGAGATAAAAAAGAAATTGAAGGAATTAAATAGGCAAAGAAAAAACAAAGCTACCACTCTTTGCAGATGATATGATGGTATACTTAGAGAATCCTAGAGAACCGAGTAACAAATTTAGCAAACTTGCAGGATATAAAATAAACCCACATACATCACTGGCATTTCTATATATTACTAACAGAGCCCAACAGCAAGAGATAGAGAAATTCCATTTAAAGTTACTATAGACATTATAAAATATTTGAAAGTCTACTACCTGCCTAAACAAAACCAGGAACTATATGAACACAATTACAAAACACTTTTCACACAAATAAAGTCAGATCTAAATAATTGGAAAAATATCAGTTGGTCATGGGTAGGCTGAGCTAATATAATAAAAATGACAATTCTACCTAAATTAATTTACTTATTCAGTGCCATACCAATCAAACTATCAAAAATTATTTTATAGAGCTAGAAAAATCAATAACAAATTCACCTGGAAGAACTAAAGATCCAGAATATATCAAGGGAACTAATGAAAAGAAATGCAAGGGAAGGTTGCCTAGCTATACCAAATCTTAAATTGTATTATAAAGCAGCAATCATCAAAACTACTTGGTACTGCCTAAGAAATAGAGTGGTGGATCAGTGGAATAGGTTAGGTATGCAAGACACAACAGTCAATGACTATAGTAATCTACTATTTGATAAATCCAAAGACTCCAGCATCTGGAATAAGAATTCACAATTTAACAAAAACTGCTGGGAAAACTAGAAAAGAGTATGGCAGAAACTGGGCAAAGACCAACATCTTACACCCTATGCCAAGATAAAATCAAAATGGGTACATTATTGAGATATAAAGACTGATACTACAAGCAAACTAGGAGGGCAAGGAATAGTTTACCTGTCAGATCTATGGAGAAGGGAAGAATTTATGCCCTAACAAGAGATAGAGAACATTATGAAATGCAAAGTGGATGACTTTGATTACATTAAATTGAAAAGTTTTTGTACAAACAAAGCCAATGCAACCAAGATTAGGAGAGAAGCAGAAAGCTGGGAAACAATTTTTATAGCCAGTGTTTCTAATAAAGGCCTCATTTGTAAAACATATAGAGAAATGAAACAAATTTATAAGACTACTAGGCATTCCCCAATTGATAAATGGTCAAAGGATATGAACAGGCAGTTTTCAGAAGAAGAAATTAAAGCTATCTATAGCCATATGAAAAAGTGCTCTAAAACACTTGATTAGAGAAATGCAAATCAAAATGGCTCTGAGGTACCATGTCACACCTATCAGATTGGTTAACAAGACAGAACAGGAAAATGATAAATGCTGGAGAAGATGTGGGAAAATTGGAACACTAATGCATTGTTGGTGGAGTTGTGAACTGATCTAACTATTCTGGAAAGAAATGTAGAACTATGCCCAAAGGGCTATAACATTGTACATACCCTTTGACCCAGCAATGTCACTTCTGGGTCTATTTCCCAAATAGATCATAAAAACAGGAAAAGGGCCCATATGTACAAAAACATTTATAGCAGTCCTTTCTGTGGTGGCAAAAAATTGGAAATGGAGAGGATCCCCATCAATTGGGGAATCGCTGGACAAGTTGTAGTATATGAATGTAATGGAATACTATTGTGCTATAAGAAATGATAAGCAGAGAGACTTCAGAAAAACCTGGAAAGACTTGAATTAACTGATGCTGAGTGAAATGAGCAGAACCAGGAGAACACTGTACGCAGTAACAGCCACATTATGCAATGACAGACTTAGCTCTTCTCAGCCATGCAAGAATCTAAGACAACTCCAAAAGACTCACAATGGAAAGTGCTATCCACATCCAGAGAAAGAACTATGGAGTCTGAATGCAAATAGAAGCATACTATTTGCTCTCCTTTTCTTTTGTTGTTTTCTTTTGTTTCTTCTATTTCGTGATTCCTCCCATTAGTTCAAATTGTTCTTTACATCATGACTAATGTGGAAATATGCTTAATAGGAATGTACAAGTGGAGGGGAGAGGAGAGAGAGGAAGAGAAAATTTAAAATTCAAAATCTTATGGAAGTGAATGTTGAAAAGTAAAAATAAAGAAATTAATTATTAAAAAAAAAAGAACTTTGAAATTGATTATATGACATGGGAGACACTGGCACAAGACCACCCAGCATGGCATACCCTCATTAGAGAAGGTGCTGTGCTCTCTTTTAAAAGCAGAAGTGAAGTAGCTCAAAACAAACATGAGATGCACTAATTTAGAGAATCCACCCCAATATTCTTTTTTCTTTTTTTAAAAATTATTTTATTTTATCAACAATCACTTCCATAAGCTTTTGAGTTTTAAATTTTTCTCCCCCTCCCTCTCCACCTCCCTCTCCAAGATGGTGCGCAATCTGATACAGGCTGTACATCTACATTCCTATTAAACATATTTTCATGTCAGTGATGTTGTAAGTAAGAATTAGAACCAATAGGAGGAACCACCAGAAAGAGGAAACAAAATACAATAGTAGAAAAAAAAATAGCAAATAGTATGCTTCTATCTGCATTCAAACTCCATAGTTCTTTCTTTGGATGTGGATAGCATTTTGCATTATGAGGCCTTTGGGGA